ATTGTTCCTTTTCTGAGCCCTCCCCCACACAGAGCCACAGAGCAGTGACATCATATCTGAGATTCCATGAACTTGGTTCACATAGGTTGCCCCCCGCACTGCCATGGGATAACCTAAAGCTCCGCCGCATCCAACATACTGGTGCATTTTTTTACAATAGGCCACACTACTAAGGGAATCAAAGCAGCTCTACCTAATAAATAGAAACAAACACAGGGAAGCTGCCAAAATGAGGAGACAAAGAAATATGTCCCAAATAAAACAACAAAACAAAACTCCAAAAAAAGAACTGAACAAAATGGAGATAAGCAATCTATCAGATGCAAAGTTTAAAACACTCATTACTTAAATAACATAAAAAATACCCAGGCAAAAGCGAAGATTACACAAAGTGAAATGAAGAAAAAGTTACAGGGAATCAACAGTGGAGTGGATGAAGCCGAGAATTGAATCTGATGTGGAACATAAGGAAGAAAAAAACTTTCAATAAGAACAGCAAAAAGAAAAAAGAATAAAAAAAAAAATGAGGACAGGATAAGGAGCCTCTGGGACAACTTCAAATGTACCAATGTTCGAATCATTGGGGTGCTGGAAGGAGAAGAGAGCAGGAAATTGAGAACTTACTTGAAAAAATAATGAAAGAAAATTTCCCTAATTTGGTGAAGGAAATAAACATACAAGTCCAGGAAGCACAAAGAGTCCCAAACAAGATGGTAATTAAAATGCCAAAGGTTAAAGATGAAAAGAGAATCTTAAAAGCAGCAAAGGAAAAGCTAATAGTTACCTACAAGGGGTTCCCATAAGACTGTCAGCTAATTTCTCAAAAGAATCTTTGCAGGCTAGAAGGGACTGGCAAAAAGTATTCAAAGCGATGAAAAACAAGGACCTACAACCTAGATTACTCTGTCTAGCAAAGCTATCATTTAGAATGGAAGGGCAGAGAAAGTCCTTCCCAGACAAGGTAAAACTGAAGGAGTTTATCATCACCAAGTCATTATTATACGAAATGTTAAAGGGACTTATTTAAGAAGATTAAAATGATGAATATTAAAATCACAATAAATTCACAAGTATCAGCAATTGAATCTAAAAAACAAACTAAGCAAACAAACAGAACAGAAACAGAATCATAGATATGGAGATCATTTGGAGGGTTACCAGTTGGGAGACAGAATGGGGGAGAATGGGGGGAAAGGTGGAAGGATTAAGAAGTACAGATTGGTTGGTACAGAATAGACAGGGGGACGTTAAGAACAGTATAGGAAATGGAGAAGCCGAAGCTTAAATGCATGACCCATGGACATGAACTAAGGGGAGGTGCTGGAGTGAACGGGGGCAACAAGTGGAAGGGGGCAAAGGGTGAAAAACTGGGGCAACTGTAATAGCATAATCAATAAAATATATTAAAAAAATAAAGAATGGCCATAAATAGTAGAACAAAAGGTGATTTCTCTAAGTGCCATCACTGGTGAGGAGACAGGGGAGTGTTTTCTGAATAGGGTAACTGTAGAAATGATTTTGTATGATTGAACACCACTTTCCCCTGGCTGAGGCCAGCCACAAATTTTAAATAATAGCCACAGCCAACATTCCTTGAGCACATAACATGCACTTTACATGTATTAACTCACGTATTCCTCACAACAACAGCTGAAGTAGGTTTTATTTTATCCTCATTTTATGCCGGAGGAAACAGAGGCCCAGAGAGGTTAAGAAACTTGCCTGGGACTCTACCGCTAATGAATCTGGGCTGGGATCTGAACCAGGGAGTCTGACTGCAAGGCCTGCGCTCTCACCACCTCTCTAAACTCACCACTCGGGATATGCCTCTGATTTCTGCATCCCATGTCCTTGCAGCCCACCTGAGCAGCTCCAGAAAGAGGCTCCTCCGGGCAGGGGGTGGTTAGAAAGGGGCTGGGTGTTCTGGAGAGCTGTATTTGGAGATACCGTGTTCCCTCTCAGGGATGTTTCATTGATCCCCACCCACTTTCCACCTCTATCTGCTGTGTCTCTCTGACATCACGGAAGATGAAACCAGCCCATCCTGAAAAGCAGTGCTTGCTCACGAAGCCCAGGAGTGGAGTCACTGGCTGGGGTGCCCTGTGTGGGCGGCGGGGCTGCTGCTCTTGCTGCCAAAGGCTAAGGCTGCTCTTTCAGCACTGTCGTCACTCCTTCGCCAAGTCTTGCCTCTCATTTTGCCTGAAGCCTGAGCGAAGCCTGGCCCACTCACCCTGGCCTCATCTGCTCACTGCCTGAGGTATGCTATAGCGCCCCCTGCAGGACCTACCCTCAGATTCATTGCAGGCAACCTGTGCAGTTGGGACAGGGCCTCAGCTCAGAAGGGCCCCTGCTTAGATGAATGCCCTGCTGTATCCATCTTGAAATTCTCCATAACTTTTGAAGAAGGGGCCTCCACTTTCATTTTGCACTGGGTCTTGCAAATTATGTAGCTAGTCCTGCTCAGATCCTGCTAAGGCCTCAGGATGCAGGATGCCTCCCCAGCGTGAGAATCTAAAGGAGACTCCCAGAAGGCAGAAGTCCCATTGCAGGTGTGGGTTTACCAGGTCAAAGCATACTTGTGGACCACAGGCAGCTGGAGAATGAATTCACATATTTCCTTGGATGATGTGAATCGAGCAGGTTACAACCAGTTTTTCCAATTACTCCCATAAATAAACATAATGCCCCATGAACAGGCAGTCTCTTACCAGTGGGAATGGTGGAGATTAGGGTCAGCTTGATTTAAGCAGAAAAGCAAACCTGGTCTTTCTTGCTCCTTCAGGCCTTTCCTACCCGCCTGCCAGAAGCCTGAAGTCCCATCCATATTAAATCCTTCCTTCGGATCCTGACAGAAACCAGATTGCTGTTCAAGTGCAAACGTCGTTTCTACCTGCTTAGGAGCTTGCTGCCGAGTTTGGCAGCCCTGCCCCGTTCTCCCCCTCACTCCAGATGTGCAGCCCCTATCAGCCCTTTCCTCTCAGTCCTCAAACGGATGGAGGTCCCACCTGTACCACAGTCCTGCGGCTCAGGCAGACCACCCTCCGCGTTCCCTCCTTCCTCTGTGGCCCAGCTCAGCTGCTGCCAGCCGCCTCCTCCCCTTCTGCCCTTTCCCTCCTCATCTCCTGCTCTCGAGCTCAGTCATTCAAACTGCCATTCCAAAGATCACTCATCAAGGCTCAGAGTTTCGTGAGCTTTGATCTTCTAGAAATGGGGCCACATTATGACTCCTGGGGGCCCAAGGCACTTTTGCCTTTGGGAAACTTTCCTCCATTTAAAAAAAAAAGTTACAAGTTATATTTTAAGACTGTGTAGGTATACAGATAAGTATAATCCTCGCTGGATTGTGTTCATTTTTCATTCTTATTTTAAAATACATTAAAACATTTTCATGGATCTCTAAAGTATTGTGGGCTCTAGGTACTGTGCTTATTGACCCTAATGGAGTCCTGTTTACAGGGCTGGGAAAAGCTGGGTAAAACCTTCTTGAAATCTTGTGTCTCTGGGAAACCACACTATTTTTTTTTGTTTTTCCTTTCACTAGGAAAACAACATACAATTGACTCTTGAACAGCAGAAGTTTGAACTGTGTGGGTCCACTTACATGCAGATTTTTTTCAAAAATACCGCTGGTCCTCTGTATCCATGAATTTCACCTCTGTAGCTTCAACCAACCAGTATTTGAACAGCATTTTTGACCCATGGCTGAGAATCCACAGATGTGGGGGGCTGACCATATGCATTGTTTTACATTATTTCACGTAAGGGACTCGAGCAACCTTGGAACTTGGTATCTGTGGGGCATCCTGGAGCCAGTCCTCATCAGACACTAAGAGCCAACTGTAGTTAAGTTCTTGGGGAGTCAAAAGTTGTAGCAAATTTTTGACTGTGCAAGGTGGGGGAGGGGTGTCAGCAACCTTAGCCCCTGTGTTCAAGAGTCAGCTGTAGTTATGAAGAAAATTTTAAGGAAAAATGCAACTCTCATAATCTATCTTAACACAGTCCTTCCTTTGCTATTCACTTCCTTGTCCCGATGGAAGGCTATTTTACAAAGGAACATGATGTGCTTATACAGTTCCATATTTTGCTTGTTCCATTTAATATTATTTTATTGAAAACATCTTGCATGTTTCTACCCTAGTCCTGATAACCATCTAGTTGACTGATGGCGACTGACTTACTTTCCCCCTCTGTTGGTTTCCTTTTCTTTTTGGACCCTGCCTTCTTTTTCTGTTTTGTTCTCTGTGCATTTCTTCCTTTTGCAGATTTAATCTTGGCCATCTGATCATTCTATATGTCCTCCCCACAGGGGTCTGACTAATGGCTTCAACTGTGGGCTTCATACAGCTCAGGAAAATGGGCCATTCTTTCAAGCGGCCATTAGTGTTCAATGATCTGTGCCTACGACCTGTTCAGGCCTGTTCACACTGCATGACGTGTACGGGAGAGCCAGCCAGGCCATGCGGCACGGGCTTGTGAAACCCTGCCTTATAGCAATGGCATCCAAGTGTCAGAGCCTGAAGTATCTCAGAAATAATTCAGTCCAACTTCAATATTTTACAGATCAGGAAACTGACACTCAGAGGTTAATAGATTTGATCATGGTTAAAAAACCACTGAGCAAGGATATGAAACTTCATTCCTTGACCTCCAAGTTTCATGCTCTTTCCTCAATGGCGTACTTTCTGAATTTGTTAAAGAGGAACTCTACCTTTATAGTGCTGTGCCATTGGAATGTGCATTTATATTAAATAATTAATTTATAATTATTTGTTGCCCATTTTATCTTAGTATTATTTAACGGGAAGAGAAAAGGAAAAGTTAGCAACATGTTTTTAAATTCCCACTTTGACGTGATCCGGGCTATTGCGGGAGAAGTGCTTAAGCGATTCATGTTCCATCCAATGGTAACTTCGCCTGTTCTGTTAATGTCCACTTTGTCTCTAGGGTCTGTTGATTCACTTATGATGAAGGTTCCCAACAGTTAAACCAATTGATCTTACCTGTTCAGAGACAAGGAGCAGATCAGTCTTTGTCCCAAAATAACCAGGCCAACACTGGTACTAGCAACCTGCAGACAATAAAAACATTGATTACTAAGAGGAATGGATCTCTCTGGCCACAGATTGGCCATAAATATTATTTCCTATAGTGGAAACATGATAAACTTCACTTTCCCTCTCATTCCAAGAGATATTTGAAAAAAACAATTCTAAAAGTACTGTCTTTCAGGTAAGAAAGCTATCTATGAAGACTTTCTGAGGATCTCCTTCAAACTATTTTTCTATTTTCTCCTAATCTCTATGTACTCTGTGTGCATGCGTGTGGGGTATTTTGCTTAGGTTCATTGTATTAGTCCCCTTTTATTGAATCGTATGTGGCTTTCATCTGCTCAAATAAGCTTGAATTCCACCTTAACTTATTTCAAGGAAAAACAAGTTTGGCTATCAATGTAACTGAAGCAGAGGGAAGGGCACATAGGAAGCAGAGAATGGTACAGAGCTATTTTACAATGTATGGGGATTGAGCACTGGATTCCCACGTCTCCCCCCAACCCCAGTCCTCACTCCTAATTGCTGAGATCACTTCCCACCCTTCCCAGCATGTAATAGACCACTGCTGGTCAGTGCTCTGCTACAGGAACAGAACTGGTATCCAAGGGCTGCCTGTCTATCCCCGCAGACTTACAAAGTCCATGGACACGATGGTTTCAGCCGTTGAGTTCTCAGACTCCGTGAGTATCACAATGGAGGCAGGGATGTCCAGGGTGAAGTTCCCTGGCAGTAAATTGACCACAGGAGGCTCTGTTGCCATGATCCGAAACATGAAGGGCTGGGACAAGATGTAGATGTCTGCGATCTGCCCATGTTCGGGGGTGGAGGGGGGAAACGGAGATTGGGAATTATGAGTTGAGGAGGGAAAATCACAAGTTTGGGGTGGCTTGTGGTGATTAAATCTTACATCATGCAGTGAGAATAGAAAAAAGATCTCTAATGATAACAACAACACCACGCAAAAAACTCCAAATAATAACAGTGGAGGTTTGTTAAAGACATAGCATGCCAGGCACCACATCAAGGCTGTCTGTATCATCTCATTTAATCTTCACAAAATCCCTGTGAGGCACATTCTCCCCATTTTCCAAATGAAGGAAGTGAGTCTTAGAGAGGTTAAGTCATTTTTTTCATGATTCCAGGTGAGTAAATTGCAGAATTGGGATTCAAATCTAGGTCTGTGTGGTTCAAGATCCTTGCTCTAAAACCAGATTGCTTTAAAAACAGCATCTCTCTCTTTGTCCTCAAGGGCAGGCTGGAGCCTTTCAGCACACTATGTCCGACACTCAGGCGCTCTGAAGGCATGGCATTAAGAGCTGCTTCACTAAAGCTAAAGGCGTGGGCACTGTCCCTTCATCTCCCATTTAAGCTAATTATTTCAAGTGTGGTGGAACTTTGAGGATGGAAGAGATAGATGATTTATTTTGTGAACTTAAAATGCCTTTAATAGTAACTTGTTCAGTAAATACTTGTGGATATTTGATTAAAAGAAAAAAATTCCTTAAGAATGAAAAGATAGACTCAGGCTTGCACTGAAAGGAATATAAAGAACTCACAAGTCTTACAAAAGTAATTCCAATGAAACCAAATACACTGTCAAGGAGTCAAATCCTGAGAACTCACCCGGGAGAGCATGTTGCCAATGCCTTGAGAGTTTCGAAACAAATGGCTGGAAATCTGGAAAATTAAGATGATTATGTCACTGTAAGGTTTTTACCTTGGGTTATCTTTTCAGGGAAAATGTAGAGTTCCCCATAATTTTTATGAATTATGAAGCTGTTACACCAAAAAAAGGTGTTTGAAGGCAACTTATCATTTTATAGACCAAACATAGGAATTCTGAGACTCAGGGGGAAGTAAAGTGACTTGCACATGGGAAGTCACAAAGGAATTACCTTCCCTTTGAGTACATGACTTTTAACGTTGGGAACACTGTGTATATCATATATGCATAATCCATGTATAAATATTCTGCGGTGGTTCACAATAGGTTTAGTGCTATTGTCCTGATTTTCAGAGATCACTGAGATATAGAATGCTTAAGTAATTTATTTTCACAGATGGATGGTTTTCAAGTTGTGAAGCTAAAAGTATCTAATATTCAGCACTGTATGGTAGCTGGTGCTGCCAACTTAGCATTCTGAACATAAGGTTTATAACTGCTTGTATAACTAGGACGTACAGAATGAAAAGACTCATGATGAATGCTCAGGAAAAGTTGTTGATTGACTGGCTGGAAAGAGTGTTCTTGTTGTATGTAAAAGAGAGGGGCATTGCAAAGAGAATCAATGTGTACCTGTACTACTACTGGTCGTTGTAGATAAATCAGTTGCAATTGCTAATAGGAGAAATTTTTATGTTGGTATAATACAAGGGATAATAATAGTGATGATAACCAGCAACACCTATAAAACACGTACTCTGTGCTGGGCATTGGTCTGAAAGCTTTACATACATTTAAACCTCTTTAATGTCCGTATCAACCCTATAGGTACAGAATAATTATTTTTCCCACTTTCCAAATGAGGAAACTCTGGCACAAGGTGGTAAGTAGATTGAAAATGCCCAAGGCCACAGGTAATAAGTGATGAAGGGGGCCCTGTCATTATTTCGAGGGCAATCTGGAACAGTGACTCAGTATCATAAAAAAATGAAATGGAAAAAACTGGAAATCCAAAAATTCTCCAACTAATACCATTCATTCCACTAATCCTTCATTCATTGTTCTGATAGGAGTGAGAGTCTTCAAAGCTCAGGGAGAGAAATTATGACATAAAAAACCCCCAAAGTGGGATGCTTATAATAAGATTACGTTTTGGCGCCTACTGTCATCACCCATTAACCTTCTCACCTCTTTTGTGGAGAGAGTGACATTGAAAGCCCCAGCTGTAAAATGAGCGAAGGATGCAGATTGAAAGAAATACTCGGAGATTCCAATGTAGAGCATAGAGTCGCTTCGTTCTGGGAGCTCAAAAGGCACTGGAGGAAAGGGGGGCTCAGTGAGGTTGTCCAGTGGGTAAAATACGCCCTGTGGGAAAAGAGAGAGAGAGACCAGACTGTCAGCTGGAGGCTCAAATGTGCAGGGCTACAGAAGGTGGACCCTCTTGGGTAAGAATAAGAAAAATTTCAGAAATTTATTAGGGAAGGAAAAAAATGATAAGGCCTTCTGAGTTCTTGACTAGTGACTATGTTTCACAGCTCTGAGGACTTGTTGAGCATACATCTGTGCTCAACAGTGGGCATGTGGATCCACCATGGGTATAGCCTAGTGAGAAGTTCCTTGTCAGTCCTTTTCGCTGAGAAGGAAAGGCAGGTACATTTAGCTGGAGGTGACAGCTCTGAATAGTTTCTGAGGTGCCGGGTAGAGAGGTCAAACCCTTGACCTTCAAAATCTGTGGTTGCGGAGCATCTGGGGTGTCACAGAAAGACTCAGGAGGCCCCAGAACTGTAAATGGTTTAAAGTATTTTTTTAAAGCATTCAGCAAATATTTATTGCGTTGAATGGAGGTGAACATAGCACCTTGAACTGCACCTGCATCATTTGTTCGTGAACACATCATGGATTGCAGAAGTACAGGGGAAAGTCTATGGTGTTGCTAATGCTGCCCTTGTTCACTACTGGTTGTTATTACAAAATGGTAGCTGTGTAGTATTCAACTAATTTGAGTGACTCTGAGTGACTGAAATATAAGCCAATATGCATTAAAAAAATGATAGTAACTTTGGGGCAAAAGTAAACATAAGGGCAGTTAATCACTTTTCCAAATCAGCAAACACCATTTTCAGGTGCACATGACCCCAACAGAGGTCAGTAGCTCTCAGTTAAACTGACTAATCTGAGAAGGGTAGAAACACCAATATGTATAATTACTGATACGTTAAGTTCTAATAAATGCAAACCGCTTCACTTGCTGCCTCCTAGCCTCAAATCTACTCCCAGAGGCAAAGGCATCATGATACTTTTCTTGAAGCAGACAGACATATCTTGTGCAATCTGAACAATCATTTACCAATCAAGAAAATGTTCGAGTCTTTTCAAGGAGCATACACATTATGGAATTGCTTAGAGATGATTTGAAGAGCATGCAGGTATATTTTTTCTGCACATAAAGTTTGTTCCCCAAATATAGTCAGCCCTCTGTATCCAGAGGTTCTGCTTCAACCAACCGCAGATCAAAAATATATTTTTAAAAAGCTATGTTGTTGCTGACGTGCACTACGTAGTTAGGCTTATGATGGTTGCGTCTGTACTGAGCATGTAGTTTTTTTTAAACAGCTATCTACATAGTGTTTATATTGCATTAGATTTTATAAGTAATCTAAAGGTGGTTTAAAGTATACAGGAGGATTTACATAGGTTAAATGCAAACACCATGTCATTTTATATAAGGTACTTGAGTATCATAGATTTTGGTATTGGGGGTGTCCTGTAACCAGCCCCTGGAGGGTATCAAGGGATGATTGTACTGGCTGTTCATAGCCAGGATGAGGACTCTGATGATGATAAAGTTACCTTCAAATTCAGGTCAATGTAGTTCTCAGTAATTTCTGGAGAACTCATTAGGGAATAATCCAGCATGGTATAGTTGTTGATCTTGGTTAAAACTAAATAACAAATAAAGCAAAAAAAAATTTACATTCATTAAAAGCATAACATATGATTAATGTATACCTAGAACAAATTTTTAAGTAATTTAATAATTTTTAATTTTCTGTTGTTTAAAATAATAATTGCCTTATTTCATAAGTAATACACGTTCACTTTTTTCTATTTATTCATTTATTCATTCATTTGAATTACAGATGACATTCAATATTATATTAATTTCAGGTCATGCTCACTTTTTAAAACCCAGGAAAAGTAGGTAAGTCAAAAGAAGAAAGTAAAAACCCCTTTAGATCAAATTACCCTGAGAGGAACTTAAGTAACATCTTGGTTCATACTCTTTTAATCTCTTCCCCTGCCCCCCTCTTCTTTTTTAAAAAGACAAACAAAAGTCATTTGTCAATATTAAGCCATATATATTAGGTTGGTATAGTGAGAGACTTTCAAGTTCTATGTTAAAGCCTCCTTTGTAGTTAGAACTTAATTTTTCTACAATGAGCATGTACTACTGTTGTAATTAGAAATACATTTAGAAAAGAAATATCGAGAGAGACAGACAGTAAAATTTACTAAGCTGCAGAGGCTGACGAAATTCTCACGCACAGTGCTACTGATTTGCATTACTTTTTGTCCTATCATTTTCAGAGCAAAGCAGAAGGCCAGGCTTTCTGCTTTCAAGGGCCAGGAAACAGCTGGCTTGCAGGAGGCATGGATCTCAGGGCCTGGCCCAGTCTGTCTGTGCTGTGTGCAGTGCTCAGTTTCCAACCTGGCTGGAGAGTTGCTTTCCCGACCCCCACCACGTGCTCTGATAGGAAGACTTCCTTCCCGGTTTAGAGGAACGTATGTGAGCACCACAGCTTCCCTTCCTGCATGCCGCATTCGTTTTATTCCATTGATGGAGAGGAGAAAAAAAGAAGAGATGAAGTGATTTGCCCAAACAAGGGAATGATACTACCCTGTGCCACCATAGTTTTAAAACTGCTTTCAAATTCACAATCTCAAGGGATCCATCACCACGCTGGGAGGGAAGCAGAATCTGACCACCATACAGATCAGGGGAGCGAGGCTCCCAGAGGTAAAGAAAGCTGGCCAAAGCAAGCTAGGACAGGAGAATCCTCCACCAGTTCTTTCTTCACTCCAGCTTCTTTCTGCTTCCTTCCCCTCCCCACATCTACCTGTATCCATTTATCAGTCCATTTGTCCAGCTGCCCATCTCCTTCATCCCTTCATCAACCTAATGTTTATTAACTTAGTGTGGGTTAGGCCCTGGGCCTGGTGCTGGGGACACAGAGCTGAGCCAAAGTCTCTGCCCTCAGGGAACTCACAGTCTGGTGGAGGAGACAGACAGAAAAAAGAAATTAGCATACAGTATAGTAAGGACAGATCTAAACCTGAGCTCTTGATGGCCCTGTCACAAACCTACTCTGACGGCCTTCCCCATTTGTGTAAATGGTAATGCCATTCCTCCAACGTTCTGGCTGCTCAGGGTAAACCTGGGGTCATCCTCGACTCCTCTCATGACCCTCCTTCAATGTGTCAGCAAATACCAATATCTCGACTTGCAAGGTACATTCAGGACCCGAACGTGCCTCACCATCTTCATCCAGGCCAGCTGCCATCCTTGCTCATGTGGGTCACTGCTGTAGCCTCTTAAGTGGTCTCCCTGCTTCCACCTTTGCCCCCTGCCTCCTCCCCTGTCTATTATTAATAGACAGAAGTCAGAGTGATGTTCTGAAAATATAAGTGAGATCACGCAAGACGTGCTCAGAACTCCCCAAAGGCTTCTTACATGAGACTGAGAGCTGGCCTTCGCCGTGGCCTACAGAGGCCTGGACGTCTAACCATCTGCTTTCTCCTCCCCGACCTCCTCTCCCACTGCTTTCCCCCTTGCCCCCTCTGCTCTCCGTGTGGCCTCCTCACAGTTCCTCTGGCACACCTGGCATGGTCCCGCTTCAGGGCCTGTGAGCTTGTCGTTTCACCTACCTGGAATGTTCGTTGCCCAGATCTAGGAGTGCCTCACTCCCTACTTCATTCAGATTCATACTTTATGTTACCTGCTCAGTATCTATAATGGAAAATTATCTAATATGGACATCCCTGGCCACACTACCTAAAACGAAAACCACTCCCAAGCTCCTTCCTTGTTTTATTTTTCTTCTTATCGCTTATTACTAGGATGCCATAGAGCTTACTTATTATCTTCCTTGCTGTCTCTCTCCTCCCACTAGTCCCATGAGGGCAGGGATTTCGGTTTCCAAGGCTTACTGCTGCATTCCAGCACCAAGAGCAGCCCCTGGCCTGTACCATTGGTGAATGAATGGGTGGAGTGGAAAGAGAGAGATACTTTCAAAGTATCGTCTGAGTAGAGAGGAGGCAGAACTTTGGGGTGTGGGCATCAGGTGAGACTTCTTGGAAGAGACTATGCCTGAGCTGGGCCTTAACAGATAAAGAAGAGTGAACAAGACAAGGAATGGCGGAGGGGTAGGGAATGGAAGGGACTGTATCCCTCATGGCTCAGAACAGTGTTGGCAAAAGGCACTCAATAAATATCTATTAAGTGACTAAATGGATGAAGGGGGAGAAAGCTCTTCTAGGCAGAGAGGACAAGATGAGCAAGGGCAAGGGGCGTGAGGGCAGGAGAAGCAGTCTGATTGCTGGAGCCGGGGAAGGTGCAAGATGCAGTGGAGAGAGGGAAGCAGGAGCCAGAGCACTTGCAGTGCACGTTGAAGCGTTTGGGCTTGATCCTGAAGGCAGAGAAGGGCCGATGAGCGGCCTAGAACCAGGGCATAACCTGGCCCAGACCAGCATGAATCATTCTGAAGGAGATGGATTTAATGCCAGAGCTGGGATTAACACTAATAAGAGTTTAATTCTCTGAGCCTCATCTAGTCTCCCGCAGCCAGTACCTCCTGCAGAGAAGTTGGTGGCAGCAGCAAAAAGCAGACCCCATACACAGGCCATGTCTCTACCATCCCTTCCTGTGGCTCTAGTTGGCAGGGTGGAAAGCAGGCTGAAGAGCCGGAGCTATAGGGTGTGGACAAGCAAACCCGGAGAATGCTAGAGTGGGAAGGTGGGGGGAAGCCATCGGAATAGATAGCTCAGGGACTCACCCTCCAGCATGCTGAGATTGGCATTCAGTGCTTCCACCTCACCTGTGATAATGGGACAGAGCTGGCCATAAAAGGAATAAAAAATTACAGGTTATCGTATTATATGGGAAACCTGTATTTATGGGCTTAGACCCTGCAGATGAAGGCTAGGAGACCTTCTCGCTTTGGTCATCAAGACTTTCTCTTAAATTACTTGATGCCTATGGGCCTCAAGTTAGGATGCATGGGTGGCATGTCATTGAATGCTGACTAAACTTCACAGCAACTGGGACTACACCCAGGGAGGCCCATGAAAGAATGTGCCCTTGCCTTTTCCTCCTGCGGCATGACAGGACATGTGTCCCAGTCCGTGCCGGTGCTGTCACACCTGGGGAACCTGCCGTGCCTTTTCCCTCCCCTGTCATCAGTGCTGTGCTGCTGGGAGTGGTTACAGCTGGGGCCTTCACTTCCCTGTTGGGCTGGTTTGACAGCCCATGAGATCAGGCACCTATTTCAATCAGAACCCCGTTTGGAATTGGCAAATCAATCTTGAGTCAGACTCAAGCACATCTTGAGGAAGAAGGAAGGGTACCAATGTCGATGGACCTGCTGTGTGGCAGGCGTGTGCTAAGCACTCAGTGTGTTGGTTACTAGCAGAGGCTTGGGAGCTGGGCTGCCTGGGTGACTCCTTTGGCAAGTTACCTGCCCTCTCTGTCCTCAGTTTCCTCATCTGCAAAATGGTAATGATAACTTTATTTACCTCATCAGGTTATCTTAAGCAGAAATAGAGGTAATTTGTATAAAATTTCCCAGCTTACAGTAAGGATTCAGTATTTGTTAGAGGTTGTTTTAACCCCATTTCATCCCCACCACAGCTCTGGGAAGTAAGCACTATTGTGCCCTATTTACAAATGGAAAAACTGGAGAGGTTAAGAGAGTTGCCAGGATGCCCTGGCGGGTGTGGTTCAGTGGATTGAGTGCCAGCCTGTGAACCAAATGGTTGCTGGTTTGATTCCTAGTCAGGGCACAGGCCTGGGTTGAGGGCCAGGTCCCCAGTAGGGGGCACAAGAAAGGCAACCACACATTGATGTTTCTCTCCCTCTCTTTCTCTCTCTCTTCCCCTCTCTAAAAATAAATAAATAAATAAATAAATAAATGAGAGAGAGAGAGAGAGAGAGAGGGAGGGAGGGAGGGAGGGAGTGTTCAGGAATCACATCCCTAGCATCTGAAATCTGCCTTAACCCATTTAGACAGTTGTGGTCTGGGCTTTTCATTTCCCAGTGGCTCAGAGGGAATCCCAGAGGCCAAACCTCTGTGGCTTCTAAGTCCAGGCAAACTTAACCGTTGGCTTCCTCTTAGAGGCCAAGAACCGTGCCTCACTTTGAACAAAGGAATGATCAAGCATGAGGCCCTTGAAGGGGCAGCACTATTTCCCTGTCACGCTTTAATATTCCCATTCCCTGGCACTCAGCACCTGTCAGGTAAAATGGACAAGGACTGTGAAGACACAAAGTCCCTCGGCCAGCAGGCAACCTCATTAGGCAGGCTGCTCAGTGTTTCCACGTGTTGATTTCCTCACTGACATTCATTAAGCACCTATTTTATTGAGCACTGAGCACTGAGCCAAGCACTGAGCTGAGCACGAGGGAGAAGGAGATAGTCAGACACTCTCCTTCCCCCTCTTTTCCAGAAAGTAGTTTCCCTTCCTTTCCAGTCCTCTTCATCCCTCTCCTTGTCTCCCACAAACTGTGGGTAAAGGGTTCGGGGTCGGGGTGTGTGGTCAGGTTTGGAAGGCAGGTGCACAGCCAACTTGGCCTTTACCCTCCTCAAGCACCGACTTCTATTGTAGAATCTGGGTACTTGCAGTTTTGGAAGCCATCGTAACTGACACTGTTTCTGTTGACTGGAAATACCCTTTCTTCTTTCCCAGTCCTTACCTATCCAAATCCTACCTATACTTCAAGGCCCAGCTCAAGTCCTGCATCCTCTAAAACAGTCTCCCAGGATACTTCAGACACTATTTACTTAATTTTCCCATTTCTCTGAACCCCTTCAATTTGATCTAATTATCATATAAATATGTACTAAATTCAAGTCCTCATTCAGTTATTTCACAAGATGGAGTTGAAATTCCTTTCCCTAGAAAGCTGATAAGTTTATTTCTTTTTCATACCCCCAACAGACCCTAGTCTAGTGCTGGGCACACAGTAGGTACAAGATAAGCAAATTCTTGTTGATTGTTTGCCCTCCCTGTGGCAAGAGCTTGAGGAAGGCACGCTGTAGGGTGATGTGTGTGAAAGTGCCTTGGGTGGTGCCTATCACACAGTAGGTGCTCAAAAAAGGTTTATTGACTAAGGATTAACAAAAGCGTGGCAGAACTGCTGCTGATAGCATTTTACTGTGGTTGTGTAACCTCTAAAGACTTACCATTTCATTTAAGTTCTTTAAAATGGGTTTCTCAATGGGCTCAGCAAAGGAGTTATACAGGACACTAGGAAAAAAGGGAAGGAAAGGGCCTTACTCAGGGGCCATACCTGCAGTTATAGACTTCCCCTAAGTGCTGCCTGAGGATCCAGCCCCTGGCTACCCACTGCCCCAGGGCACGCTTGCTCACCTGAGTTCTCCGGTGAATGAGGGGTGCGCATGACTCACTTGGGCATAGCAGTCTTGGAGCTTCAGGGTTGGGTGACCAAAGTCATTTTGAGCGAGGATAAGGTTACCGGTGAAGTAGACTTCAGAGAGAAGCAGATCAGCTCCTCCTGCGTCTTGGCTGTTGAGAGAAAAAGTGCAAGGTTACCCAGGCCTTGGCAGGGGAGGAGATGGCTCAGTTCTCTGATTACCCACGGACTCTGAGACCCTGGAGGGCAGGACCTTTGCTACCTCTGGATTCTTGGCACCAACAACAGGCAGGAGCAGAGTAGGTGCTGAGTGAATGAATATTTGCTGAACAAATGAAGTAATGAGTTATGTGAATGGTGACAGCTTTAGGGACCTTGCAGGTATTTTATTCCGAGCACTCTGCCCCACCCTCATGTGACTGAGCGCATATTGATCACCATTCATATACAATGCTTGTTGAGAGTAAGAACATAGAGGGTAAAGTTGGCCATACTTTATGTAGGAGGGGCATGGATGGGGAAGTGACACTTAGATGTGGCCTGTGAACTCCTTGAAGGAGTGGAATATGTGTTACTCACGTCCACGTCCCCAGGACTCAGCTCATGGCCTGATGCAAAATAAGCATGCAATGTAAGGCTGATGAGTCAGCGAAGGCCAGAATGGAGACCTGAATCCATGTGACTTATAGGAGAATATGTCACTTCTCTCCAGTCTGTAAAAGTTCTTGGAGTTCTTGAGATGGGAATAAATGATAAACAGCAGGCACTCAATCAATGGTTGTTAAATGATCAAGTGGGTGAATCAATGTGTTATTCCAAGGCACCAAGGCAGACCTAAACATTACACCCAGGATAGCAGGTTGCACACAGTGGGTGGTCTGTAAGCATATCTTGAATTTGATCCCTTCTTTTCAAGGAGGTTGCAAAGGCCTTTTGTTAAGGAAGAATTGGGCTGAGGTTGACTATTGTCTTCCAGCCTCCTTGTGAGGTAGGAAAGCTCCCTGTCCCATCAGATGTACCCACAGATGGCAAAGTGTGTTGGCTGACTAAGATCATCCAGTGAAGTGACTCCCTGGTGGGGGGGGGGGTCTCAAATGTTGAGTGCATGTCCAGTTCTCCAACAGTCTGGGACTTCCAGCCCTCAGGAAACTGTAAAGGACATTTTGGTCAGTGGCTCTCACCTTTAAAGTAAAGAAGATTTTCAGCCCCCACCCCTCTCTTACTCCCAGGAGAGAGATTCTGATTTAAATCTCTCCTGGAAAAATGCTCTTGGGGAAGTGTTAGTAGTTGAGGAAAGAAGACTAACATCAAAAACACCAGCAAATTTATACACTTTGGATTTTTGCTCCATTTCTCCGCAGCACAGCAGCTGACTTCTCAGGGAATACTCACAAAAGTGGAGATCTGACTTCCCAGTTTGTGCTGATGTTGGCGGTGCCGTGGTTGGTCAGTGCCTTGATGCCCACCCCGGGCACAAAGGCTAACGAAGTATTTGGAAATGAAAAGGCATTGATTTTTATGCTGAAAAACAAGAAACAGAGGAATTAGTGCAACTCCTCTAGCACATGTCTATGTAAGACAAAAATCGGAAATGCAGCTGTGGAAATCCTGCCAGGTGAGTGTGAATTCCCACGGAGCAAAGAATCTCGGGCCTGCACTGCTGCCTCTGGACACTGCCTTCTAATTCCCCTTAAACTCTGGGCAGGAAGCTCTTTGTGTCTTATTGATTGGGGTGGGGGCAATTTAGAAACAGATTTGCAAATAACTGACCATTTTAGCTTCCTTAAACACAAAAAGAGGTACAACATTTGCCAGCATTATTTTTTCTTCCTGTTGTTCCAGTGTTTCTAAATGGCGGGGGTGAGGAGGGGAGCACTAGTATTTTGGGTAGGACAACTACTTTTGGGTAGAGAACTGTTATAAATATGGCAGGATATTTGGCATATGTGCGAACTAAATGCCAGTAGTGACCCTGCCCCCCAATCATTGGGACAATCAAAAAAGTGTCTTCCATCTCTTCCCAAATCCCCTCTGTGTGGACAATATCTTCCCTAGTTGAGGAAATTATTTTAGAGTGTAAACTCCCCCTAGAATTCTCTGAGCTGTCAAACAAGTAACTAGGATGCAGTGGGCTATATGTCATCTACATAGGTAGATGGCCACATGCATTATGATGTTACTGTTATGAACATTGACTGAGTGATTTACTCCCTGCCAGGCACTGTGGTAAGCAATTGACATGTCTTAGCTCATTTTAACCCTTACAATAATCCTATGAGGCTACTGCTGTTTTTGCAAACTGCAATTCAAAGATGAGAAGATAAGACAGTTGTCAGCTATGTGGTAGAACCAGGTCTGGAACCCTCCTCAATCTGTCTTCAGACTGTGTTCTTAACCACTAAGCCATGCCACTTCACGTTGTGAAGTGCAAAGGGCACTGCCTTGGAGACAAGCTTTGTGCTACCTGTGCAACCTTGGGTGAAACACCTAACCTTTTCCAGTCAATCGCTCAGAGGAACTGTTACGAGTAGGTTACGAAGAGAAAATGAGGTCACCTGTGTATGACTGTTGCACAGTAGAAAAGCAGGGTTATGAGCTCAGATTAGGAAAAATTTAAGATATAAATGTGATGGTTAGTAAGAAATGATTATTTGTTATCTCCTCTATTTTGCATCCTTCCCTACTTACTCATTGTCCCACATCCTGAGACCCCCAGTGGGAAGAGGTATCTTGGAAATATTTTCATTTTTATACATATGGGTCTTGCCCATTCTTTGTAACTAATGCTGCAAAGGGAAGGGACGTTATTACTCTAAAGGGTTAGAGTAGCAGGGAATTATCACTGATTGATAGAGCATTGTGGTAAATTGTAAATTACAGAGAATTGCTTATAGAAGCATTATTCTTTGCTAACCTCTAAGACTGAACACATTATGGACACAGACATCCTCTCCCTGCACTTCCTGTGGGGCTTTTGTGGGCAACTACAGTAGAGGTGGCCAGTTGCTGTCTGAACCTCCCTTTCTTCTTTCCAAACCATTCCTGAATTTGTTCAGGATGACAAACTGGTCTCGCTGGGAAACTAATTTTCCAGTCTCCCTTGCTAACAAATGTGGCATATGCCTAAGTCCTGTCCATTATTACACAGGCAGAAAATTGTTAGAATAGAACTTGAGGAAAAAAGACTCATTGAAGAGGAGACTAACTCAGCTCGTAAGATTCCTTTTTATCCTTGCTTCTTCCTCCTTCCAGGGGCCTGAAACATGAATTTGATGGCTAAGCTGCCATTTTGGAGCTTGAGACAACCTTGAGAGTAGAAGCCAGAGCTGAGGGTGTGGAGCAGAAAACTATTAGAAGGTGGGATACTGATGAAACTGTGGGGTTTCAATAGGAATCCTCCACTATCTCCTTTGAGCTTCTTGTTTGGGAGACAAAAATCAATCTCTATTACACCTAAGACATTGTAGTGTGCTGTTATATTCAACTGAACTTTATTCCTAATTAATACAATTTCAAAACTCTGGGCTGGGTGTAATGAGAACTTGAATGAATGTGGCAATTCTATTGTTCTGACAATGATGTCCTTATGCTTTCAATATGGATATCAACTCATACTTGTATAGCGAGCAGATTCAGTTTCATAAAGTATCTTCACATTTGTGACTTCACCTGATTTTTACTGTTTACTGATTTTGACATTCGATTTTATTGCTATAACATGGCAGAAAAGATGACAGTTGCCACCAGAATTCTTCTTAGAAAGAGTTTTTAGGTTGGAAAGTTACTCTGAAAAGTGTAACTTTTCAACCAATTTAGAGTGTAAAGGGAGAGGCTTTGGTCCCCTGGAGGGGGTGGGACTGCTTTGCATGAGGCCAGCGGAAGGAGCTGGTGCTGCTCCAGAGGAGGAAAGGTCTAGAGAGCAAGAGGGCAGAAGGCCATGTGCCCAGCGATCTCTGAAACCTTAACTAACCTTTACTAAAACAGGAAAATATTTGATGAGAGTAGATTTATGTTTGAGGCTGTGGTTGAATTCAATTTCCAGGTGTACAGGGGTGAGGGAGGCAATGGAATGAATAAGAACGTCCTTTACAAGGTGATGGAGAAGGTAGCCACAGCAGACGACTGTGTTGGATTGGAATGCTCAGTTTAGGAATGGGGCAAGGACATGTGGACACAGGCTCTGAGCAGACTCGCCAGGTGCTCACAGCTGGCGTGCAGCAGAGAGACGAACTGAACCCAGGTGTAAGACCCATATGCTCACCTGTTTGCCAGCTTCATGGACCCCTTTTTCCTTTGGTCATTTATCTGATGAGCCTCTCACCAAAGGCTGGTTAACTTGTGCCCTGCAGGTCCTGAGGTCACACCAGAACCCGGCGTGGCATGTCTACAACCCTGTGAGTTTAAAGGTGAACTTCACTGCTAGCAATGCTCTTCTCTTTCACTTACTTTGTAAAATTGTAGTTCACATAATCAACCTTCAGAAATTCAAGAGACTCAGAGCCTTTTAAATCTGGGATGTTTCTTTCTTTGGCCATTTGCTCAATCATCTCCATGCCGGCTTGAACGCCTGTGAAAGAACCAAAGAAAGTGTTTTTCGATAATAAACAAAGATGGTAATGGTGTAATAGCATTAAACATACAGGTGAAACTTATTGAGTAAGGCATGCTCTTAGCTACTTAGAAAACAGCAATCATACCAGGTGGGTATCATTGTCCCGGCTTTACAAAGGAAAACACTGGTTCTGAGAGAGGCCAGTAACATTGCTCAAGACCCAGCGCTAACAGCATGAGAGATTTTCATTGTTTGGTCAGGGCCAAAGAATGTTATCATATGACAGTATGATAGGAAAAGTGCAAAATGTTATCCTTATCCACATTTTATGGATGAATAAATGGGACCTCAAAGAGGAAGCCTGGTAAGAGGCCAATGCTTACCTAAGTCTCCCAGCAAAGAACTAGGGGACCCAGTAGTCCAATATGGGCAATTGGGCTCCAGAATCTAGGCCTTATTATAGTCAGTCCCAGAAAGTAATTCCCCCTGGTCCTAGATTCTTTAAGCTCAGGAATTTTTGGCCTGAGGTCCATGGAATTCTTTGGGAACTTTTGAACCCCCTGAAATTCTAATACAGGCTGTGATTGGTTGTACATGTGCATATAGAGTTGGGTAAAAGTAGGTTTACAGTTGTTCATATGCAAAATAATATAATAAATAATAATACAAAAATAAACTCTGTGTTTCATGTACTCACAACTATAAACCTACTTTTGCCCCACCCTGTATGTATCTCATTTTTCAGGGGGTGGGTCCACACTTTCATCATATTCTCAGAGGATCCCAGGACTCCAAAGAGGTTAGAAACCACTGCTTTTTATTTGGGAATAGAACTGTATAGATGTGGCAACACCACAGAACACATTCTTCTGTGTTCAGGGAGAAAGAGAGGCCTATTCCACATTAAAAAGTTTGAGAAAAGTAACTTCCAAAGTAATGAAGAGTGATCTTTTCATTTTAACCTTCTCAAGGAGGAAGTTTTACCTTTACCCCTTACTTTGCAGCTTCAGCTCATTTCTACTTATTTTACCCTGGTTGGAGATGAGGTAGAAAAGATTTTATCCTCTATGATGCCATGAATAATATTGCACTATGGGGATGTAACAACAGAGTGTAAAGGATGTAAAGATGGAACCAAAGGCACTGTCAGAGAGCTTTGACTGGAATCCCAACATCGTCATTTACTAGCTTGTGTGATTCTGCAAGTCACAAAATTTCTTTGTCCCTAACTTTCTTCATCTACGCTTGTACACCATGGGACCTCAGTGAATATCAATTGATAATTTAGCTAACCTTAGGCAAAAATTTACAGGCAAGAAACAGGTCCATCAACTTTGATTTTGCAGTTCCTTTCTTCTATATAATCTGTCCTCACCCCAATTAAGCCCAAAGAAAATGTCAGCCCAACTCTTTTCTCTGCCTGTGTTTATAACTACCTCTAATGAGGTGGCTCTCAATCTCATAGTGTTTCAGACTCCTTTGTGCATCAAATAAATGTATGGAGCTGCTCTCAAGAAAAATACACAGTCATCATCCTCATTAAATTCTGCACACAATTTTAGGGAACTCTATGCTCCTTTTGAAATCAAGCCCTTTCTGAAACTGTAAGGTGTTACTTTTACTCCAAATCTCCTTTCCTCTGTACTATAATGCATTCTCCTTTAGAGCTCCGAGATGTTCACTGTGTGTGTCTGTGTGTGTGCACATGCGTGTGAGTGTGTGTGAGTGTGTGTGTGTGTGTGTGTGTGTGAGAGAGAGAGAGAGAGAGAGAGAGAGAGAGAGTCTGCATCTGTGTTTGGATATGCTTACTGTTAAGGGGATTATTTTTTTCTTCCCAGCCATCTCGGTAGCTGCTGCATAAGGGTCTGGACTACCCAGCAGTAGAGCTTGTCTCAGTCATGACACAGCTCAGTTATGAGCTCCTGGGTTTGGGTTACAGACTCCACCTGGGGGGCTTCAGCCTGGCTTCTGAATATATCCAACTCACCATAGTCCAGAGCACGCTGAGTAGCCCTTGCCTTGATTCCAGGGTATATGGTCTGAGCAGATGAGATGTAGACATTCCACAGGAGAAAACATCCCCAAAGGACTTGGACCATTTTTATACACACCTGCAATTAACCAACATTTATGGTTTCTTAATTATTATTGACTTTTTTTATTGGTCAATTCCCTCCAGCATTTCTAGGCTTTCTCATTTTCATTGCTCATTAATGGAACTCACCCCATCCATCTGTCCATCCAACTATCCATCCATCCATCCATCCAGTTTATTGAACACACCAGAACATGTTCTAGGTGCTGAGGATGTAAAGATGACCTATGTGTGGCCTCTGACTTCTGCTTCCCACAGACTAGTGGGCGAGTCACATAGAGAGACAGATGATTATAACACAATACAGCATGATGCAATGCAATATAAACAAGAGCCACAAATATAAACACCATGAACTTTTAGGCAGGCTCACCACTTCCACCACTATACCTCCAATCATCACACCAAGACAGTATCATTTCATGTGTGTTTGCAATCACCTCCTTACTGGTCTCTCTGCTTCCCTTGTCCTCTTCCGGCTACCTTCCACACCGCAGCCAGAACAGGCCTTTTAAAATGAAAGCCAGAACTTGTCATCCCCACCCCATAAAGCCCTTGAGTGGTTCCCCATCTTATTCAGCATAAAAGCCAGAGCCCTTCCACCAAGTGTAAGGCCATGCCCCACGCCGGACCTCTGCCTTCTCACTGACCTCCTTCCTTAACACGTCGGTCTGGCTCACTTGCCCCCAGCTTCACTGGCTGACTTGATCTTTCCTGAACACTCTAAGCAGTGCTTTTTGTTCCCTCTGCCTGGCACAAACATTCTCTAGAAATTCATGTGGCTAGATATTTTACTTTCTTTAGATATCTCAAGTGCTACCTCAGTGAAGCCTTTCCTACCCTCTCTATACAAAACAAGAACCCCCTCCTCAATCTGCTGACCCTGATATTCTCTATGCCCCTCCCCTCTTTATTTTCCTCCAGGCACTTATCACCATCTAGCATAGCTTAGAGTTACTTGTTTAGTGCCTGTCTCTCCTCCTGGAACTTTTAGGCTTCATGAGGAAGAATTTCATCACTTCAGCACCTTAAACAGCAACAGGTACACAGTAGGGAATGGGCAATTTTGGATGGTTGAATGAATGTCTCTTCCTGGAGACTGTGAAGTGAGTCGGGTTAGCCTTCTGAGTTTCCACAGTACTTGGAGCAGTTCTTGATCTTAACATGCACCATTCTGTGTTGTGATTGTCTTTACTTGCCTGTCTCTTCATCTTAGGCATTGTCTTACTTTTGTACCTCCAAAGTCTGGTACAATATCGGTACATAGTAGAGACACAAAAGAAATCTTTTTTTTTTTTAAAAGATTTTACTTATTTGTTTTTAGAAAGAGGGGAAGGGATGGAGAAAGAGAGGGAGAGAAACATCAACATGTGGTTGCCTCTAGTGCGCCCCATACTGGGGACCTGGCCCGCAACCCGGCATGTGCCATGACTGGGAATCGAATTGGCAACCTTTTGGTTCACAGGCCAGTGCTCAATCCACTGAGCCACACCAGTCAGGGACAAAGGTCCATTTTAAACACAGGCTTCTTTCTGAAGCCATTTCTGACTTGCAAAAACTAATCTCATTTCCTTCTGAGTCTTCAAATTATATATTTATTCATGTGTATATTTTTATTTTCTTGCTTACTGTCTGTCTCTCCTTCCAGAATGTAAGCACCATGGGGGCACAGACCTCATCTCATTTGGAGGTCCTACAGTGTCTTGGACACAGTGAGCGATTGGTAAGTATTGGTAGAATGGATCAATGAATCATTAAATCAAGGAACAGCCCTCACCTCACTCTACATTATAGTCCTTTGCAGAGATGATTGAGAAGGCATCTATACACTAGCAGAGCACATGCACCCATGAGAGCAGATGCTGGCCACAGTCCTAGAACACCATCGGGGAGGTTAGGTGGTAGATCGTGGGGAGGGCAGAGCTCTTGGAGGACTGATCAGTGGGGGTGGTAACTCAGGGTAGTGGCTATTTACTATTAATACCTAGTTATTTCAATATTTCAACACCACTATGGCCATATGCATTCAGTGTGACGTTTCAGCCCTGCAGAGTTGGTTTGGGTTATACGAGACAATCTACAGAAAAAAGCTGGGCAGAAACGCCAGGGGCTGGGCTAAGGAGGGGTGGCTGGAGGGCGGTCTGGGTACAGGCAACACTAAGGGAAGCACAGAGGAACGAATGAGAGTGAGAGCTAAGGGGAAGGGGCTCGGGTAGGAGGGGAGGGGCTCCTGTCAAGCGATGAATGATCTGAGGGCTGGTGGAAATTTGAGGAGTGGGTAAGCAAATGTGAACTCTTCCGCATTCTGGGAGGCAGGATGGTATTAATTAACATCTTATACTCAGAATGGACTCAGGAGTTAGGTCCAGTTGCCATCTGTGCTAGGCCCTCCTTGATCCATTAGTTGAGCTGGGGTGGCCAAGGGGTCCTGGACAGGGGGATAGCAGAGATGAATGGGACTGTAGGCGTAAAGGGACCACTCCTGGGGTTCAGGTTCATGGCTGTTCCCCAACTGTTGTGAAAGAATTCAGAACAGTTCTTTCAGGTGGATGCTATCCTTACCTTCATTTTGGATATGTGGGCACAGGGGCTTGGAGAGTCTGAATGACCTGTCTGAAATTATGTGCTAAGTCAGGTACCTGGGAATCAGACCTTATTCATCTGGCTCCTATTTTTTGTGTTTATAATTTTTTTCATTTAATGACTTGATACATGGTAGAATTTTTAATTTTAATTAGGGAATTTTAAATAGGAGTTCCTGAAGCCATCTTCTACGTCGAGAAAAAAATCATTAAACATCTGGAAATTTTCAAGCGTCAAGTGCAAATCCCTTTGTATTTTCTTGGGCACAAGTGAGGTTTTAAATTCCCTTCCAGCAGCAAAAACCTTTTTTCCCATCTTGGTTAAAGAAAGTTTCTGAAGCGGTCTACTTTGATGGAGATCCAGGAATTCAAAATTGCATATAGAAAAACATATTTTTCCTCTAAAAATGTTATGAGTGAATGAAATTCCTGGGCTATAAAGGGATGGCTTGTATGTAACTTTCAGTTCAATTGTTTGGTTAGGATGATAATTTATGGGCAGGAGAGGAAACGAACCTTGTCAAGCAAGGAGATGACTTTTAAAAGGTTAAGTAATTTGGCTGACAAGTAAGGGCAGGATGAGTTGCCGGTTGAAAGGGATCCAAGATGATTTTAAAACTCTGCCAGCCAAGTTACTTATTTTGTTGCTTCTGAGGAATTTCTTCTTTCCAAGATTCAAAGCCTTAGAACTCATCACATTTCCATACCAACATATGGACAGAATAACACTTCTAAATTAGATGGCCCATGCCTGAGCCATTCCAGTCACTAGAAATAAGGAAACTCTGGTACAATTGAGAAAACTCCTGAGACAGATCCATTTGCCGTGACTGCTCATGGGGGAGAGTTTTAGCAGATTGTGGAAAAATTGATTAAAGAAGCGATGAGTGAATGAAACAGTCTTTAAAATAGAGGCAAAGGCTGAAAAATTAAGTCCAATTGGTTTAAAGCCTAGATTTTAAGAATACTCTAATTTTGAAGGTAAAATGTATGCAAGAAGTCTAAATCAACAGGTATGGGACACGGGAAGAACTGGAGAATATTTCAAGGGATTCAGTCCACACATCTGATTTTATACCAAGATCTCTAGTGACAAGCACCTTAAAAATTTATACCAAGTCTTTGAGCAAACCCCATACAGAACATGGACAAGCTAACAATTTCAGGCAAGTGGGAGGGTCATTTGCTCTGGCAGGATCTTGGTCACCGATATGGTTCAAGACCTGGCTCCAAGGCAGAGCGATCACAGCAGTTCCTTAATCCTTGCCATGCCAGTTGAGACACACGTTAGAATTTTCTGTTACTGTGCTGGGTTCCCCATTGAAACGGAAGTGAAAACAAGCCCAGACTCTTGAGAAACCCTCTTAACCCTGCTGGATGCGGCAAAACAGCATGTGGTCCCAACTAATTCTCTATTCTTTCTTAGAGCTGTTCACAGTCTTCTGGGTGAGCATGAGTGACATAAAAAAAATAAACAAAACAGAAAAACGAAGGCAGACTGTCATAACTCAGAATACGTGCCAGCTGCCTGTTCAGGTGTCCTACCAGATCTGGGACATCTCCAGCAAGAGGGTAATCCCCGTCGGGAGACTGTCTGCCAGCAGGGACCTGAAGCTTGTTCATGATTCTTACCTGGAGCAGAGGAAGAGTCCAAAGCCGGGGAGCACCTTCGATTCCCTCTGCCGTTGAAGCTGATGTGTTCTCTACTTGAGCTTTGAACTCAGCTGCTGCAAAGACAGGATAATTAGGTCTGAATCATCTAGTGGTGGATTTTTTTAATGCCTCTTTCAAAATGTGATACATACTTGCTTCACTTCAATTACCCAATGGCATGAATGAACACTACAGTCTCTATCTACCTAGATGAGCAGACAATGCCACCTATGCAATAATTACCTCCCTGCAACACACACACACACACACACACACACACACACACACACCCCCCCCATGTGAAATTATTATGGCTACTTTACCAGAACAATTAATTCAAGACTTCCAATATACTGAAAAAAGCGTGAAACTGTATTGAATTGGAAGAGGAAGAATTTTCCTTTCTGGAATAATAAGCTGGTTTCTCCTGGTCAGGGTGCCTGAAGGGGCTGGTTCCACTCCTGCAAAGAGTACGTTTTGGACTCTTAGTGAATCAGATTCAGTCTGAAAGCTTGAAGCTTGATAACCAGGCTGACCTACTTACCACCTTTATCTTCCAGGGTAGGACCACGGAAGGCATCTCTAAGTGTCCGCTTCTTTTCTGAAGGTTACTAATGACTTCCTGTCTCAGCGTCTCTTTGAAGCAAGCTGGGTGGGTTCATCAACTAGGTATCATGTAACTGATATCTTTAGGGTCTGAACCCCATCCCCACTCCCATCCCGCATGTTTTAGTCATTGCATTTTCAATGGCCAGGGATCTGATTGCATGAAGTGTCTAATGACTTATTTACAATTTTCTGGGTAAGATAGGGTAACGAGTTGTTCTGGTTTTCCCAGGATGCAGGATTTTCATTACTAAAACCAGGACAGTCTTAGAACTAGGAGGAGTGGTCACCCTAGTA